AAAAAAACTCCCACAAATGTTGGTTGTTGGTTCCAATCCCATGGCCGATAGAGTCATCGTATCACTGTTGGACCATCAACTGTGAATACTGCCCCAGAAGAACCAGATAAAAGGTCGACCCTATGCTATAACCCCAAATATTCCCCACAATGTAATAAAAACCTGTTATTTTGATGTTGTGGGGACCATTTTTCAGGTCCCCACAAAGATCTGTGAATGTAATCAAAAAACTAAAAATGCCAAAAGTCTCTTATTTAGTGTGAGAGAGAAATGTTCCCACAATGGGATAAAAACCAGTTATTTTGACATTGTAGGGACCATTTTTTCGAAGAAACTCAATCAAATTAAAATCTGTGACTACAATCAAAAAAGAAACATTTTCTTTGGTTACTTATGGTTAAGGTTAGGGCTGGGTAGGGGTTAAGTTCGTCATGTTGGGATTAGAGTTTTCCCCTTAGAAATGAATGGAGAGTCCCCACAAAGATATAATTACAAACCTGTGTGTGTGTGTCACAGAAGAGTCAGAGGGGATATAATATAGGGGGAAAAAAATCTCATGTACCTGTACTTGTACCAGTATAAATGACAAATGAATAGCATTTTATCTAATCCATCTGTCTTTATTGCCATGCCTGCAACCAATGAGCTCTCGGCTGATGAACACAATGCCACCATGGACGGCTCTGACACCATTCGGCTGCCTCTGTAACGTTCCTGTGAAATGACTTGCAGAGAGGGTAATGCTGCCTTTCAGAAAGATAAGAAGAGGCAGATTTTCCAATAAACACCAATAAACATAAATAAACATAGTCATCGACTCACTCTGGCTGCTGTATGTGTGAAGCGTGCCGAAAGTGTTCATAACAGAGTTGGGCTCAAACAGGTTGTTAATATGCGACTGGTCCGACAGCTTCGGAAATCGTTCTCACAGTACAACAGCGTACCTGCGTCTCCATCCATGCGGCTGCACAAACACTTATTAACCTTCCATTCCTGCGACTTGCAATGTACAGAAAAAGATCGATTGATGAATTGCAGATATACCTCAATGCACATGCACGCAAAGGAAGTGGAAGTGCATTATTGAGACTCGAGATGCTGAAGATCATCAAGAAATATTCATGGCAATCACTGGTCATTCTGCTTTGGCCTAGGGCATTCCCTGTGCTGCCTGGGAGGGGCTCAGGGATTTAACAACGTTTTACATGACACATCACGTGACACATTGCCTGGCCACCTAAGGGTTGAATATAGAATGTCAATGGAACATGCCTCCTCAGCAACGGCGCAATTTAATAATTTATATGCATAGGTCTATTTATTGGGGAGGGGGAGTGAATGAATCCAGATGAAATAATGGGGGGTACACCCCCCCAATTTTAATGCCCCTGCTTGTCGGTGTCTGATAGCTGGGTGTGTGTTGAGGAACCTTCGTGTTGAGCTGTGAAGCCATAGCCACTACGGGGCTCCGCTCCAAACTGAGCCCCCAGCTGTGGAGAGCACCCAGCCCCTCCGCTCCATTGCCCCCTTCTGCACGCTCTGGTGCCATGCCCGCTCATGCATGGTGCGCCTGGAGGGGCGCAGGTGGCAGTGCCTCTGTTGGGGCTACCAGTGCACCTTCAGAAGGTGCTGTCAGCTAATTATGCTACATCCACGGGAGACGCTACGCTCATACACCACACTGAGATGATCTGCATCTTTACGCTACATGCACATGCTATCCAGTATTCTGCTATGCATTGAGGTGTTATCCTTGTGTTAGATGATATCTTTTCAGTATAAAGATATGAATTTTGACGTTTCACACAGATTTGATACCTATCTTCATGTATTTTTAAGATGCTATGCTTGCATCCTGCTAACCAGCATGATACTACCACCCCTGTTTGTTACACAGACATGTATCTTTACTATCAGTAGCCACGGCATCCTTATATCCTGTGATATTCACTGGACTTCCACATGGGCATGCTACATGGAGATGCTACACTTCCAAACAGATACACTATCAAGCTAAATGTATGCTATATTCCAAAGGCTGTTCAGTTTTGACAGCGCAATCCGATCCGAGAGATGGAGCAGATGCAACCATTCCACGAGCTCATTTCCACAGGAGAAGCTCAGCCTCTAGCATTCGCTCCATTTATTAATTTCTATTTCCCCATCGTCAGCAGCTCTGTCTTCAGGGGTCAGTCCATTGAATAGCGATGTATCTTTGCCAGAAACCCCCAGAGAAAAGCTAGTACATTATTTCAGAGGTGATCGGTAAAAACAAAGTTTGCAGAGCATCTCGAAAGATAATTTCTTGTAGTGCAAGTCCCAGATGCATGTAGAAGCGCTGTTTAATATGCCGTCATTTAATAAAGTGTGAAGCAAAGAGTGTCTCTCCTTAAAAGGTGTGTGAAGCAATTACACTTAAGGAAGCAGCCCTGCTCATTCGTGAGCTCAAACCACTGACAGCTTTACGCGCGGATCTTTCAATTTACTGCATCAGGAGCCGCTTACGCCTCCTTCTCAAAGGGATAACAGTATGGGATCCCCTGGGATCGGACCCCATAACCAGACAGGCACTTTAGCCAATATATTACCTACAGATTTATACAGCCATGAGATAAAAATGAAAACATTCTTGAAAAATATAAAATAAAATAACAGCTAGATAGCTGAAGCAGGATACTAATTAGTGTGACAACATTTTTAGTTTTTTCCCATTTTCTTTCTCATGTAATTAATCACAAGCGTTGACGCACAGGTCTTTGCCTCCATGCCTTCAAAAATGACCAGGAAGAGCATGAAGGCATATGTTTGTACAAGACGAGAGACATAAACACGTTTCATCACACCGATACTGCAGATGTTATTGCTCTGATTGCGGCCTCTATCGTCGGCCATGATGATCTGGCTCCTACCTCTGCAAAGCAGCATAATTAAATGGCTGAAGTAGGAGAGGTGAACAGGAGCTGTGTGCCTAATTATCACCATCCCCTGCACTTCACACAGAACCAAGCTTCTGCGTTAACACTAAACAAGAATTCACACTTCGTTGATTCCGTGCCCTAATTATCTATTAAGACACTCACTATTCAGAGTGGCAGTACCACACAAGGCCTGGGCTCATGTTCTGAATTATACCTAACTGGTTTATATGCCCAGATCATGGCCAAGAAATATCTCCCAATTTATTTTTCTACTTTCGCTTCAATTCAACAGTCTTTGAGATAAGGCTGACTTACTAGTCCAAGTTTTTTGCCTTTCTGGCTTGAAATGAGTCTGGTTTCAAGGTACGTAGTTCAAGTCCAGAAAGTAAAGATCCAGACCTAGATTTTGTTTCAACCAATCAGCTGAGTATAAAGAGTCACGGTCACAGAGTACTCAACTTGGTTGGCTGAAATAAAATCATGGTCTGGATTTTTACTCTCCGGACCTGAACTGTCCACCTCAGATGATTTGACCCATGACTACTTTTCTTCTTAAGCAGCATCAAAAGGAAGCTTATTAGAAATACATACACAGCACAGTCTTACACACTCAAGGTGCATTAAAAAGACTTACCTGGTCTTTGATCCAGTACCCCAAAATCCAGGGAATATTTCACCACATGATAGTTGTTCCATACATAAAGCAGGTTGTCTCTGGGATTGTAATCAACGGCGGCAATGTACTGGTAAGAGTTGGGAAAAGGTATGTCGAGGTAACTATCTTTGCTGAGCTCGGTGTTGTAGATGTAGTCGATCTTGTTCCCTGTGGCTTCATTGTCGTCATCCTCATAGACGGACTTGATCACATAGAGGATGCCGCAGATCATAAAGGCGTTGGAGGCAGAGCGCTTGTCATAGGCCGTGTCCCATGTCCCCTCGACCCGCAGCGTGTATGGGTTCAGCTGGCTGACCACTATCTTTCCATTGTTCTGCTCCGTGGCGTAAATGACCCACAGGCCGTTCTCATCCACAGCCAAGTCAATGTCAGACTTGCCGCCCCAGCGGTAGGGTGAGGTATCGTGGTAGTTGGCGCTGGCGATAATGGCCTCGCCGCTCTTGATGCGTGTGCGCAGGTCGAACTTGACGATGTTGCGCGTGCGCTCTTTGTTGAAAAACAGCGCTCCGTCATAAACCACAAACCCTGTCCCATCCACGCGGTGGGGAAGCTTGTACGTGGTGGTGGGCCGGCCCGCGATAAAGTCCTCCTTGGACGAGTACTCCGTCAGTGTGTCCGTCCGGTAAGGTGTCCATGGCATGTAGTAGATCTTATCCGAAGCTTGGAGGGGATCCTTACACCAGGCGCCTGACTGGTGGTCCGACTCGAAGAGGTGTTCACTTTGGTACACTCCCCTCAGCAAGCCTGGACACAGGAAAACTGGGAAGGCAGGGTGGAAGAATGAGACAACTTCCCTTTAGAACCAAAAATCCCTAAACAATAAGGGGAAAATCAGGCCTATATTCAGCCCAAGTGAAGCGCTATTGCTCAGTGTTCACCCACCTTGACCCAAAAGGTGACGGAATTTCCCCTAATCTTCTCAGTTGACGTGTTGCTTACTATTTCTTGTCAGATATTATCTATATATAAACATTATTTCATGCTTGCTTTATCTGCCGTTTGTTAATGTGTTACTTCAAACAGTCATAGATCAAGCAATGACATTGGGTTAAGGCTGATTTATAAGGCTTTCCTGTCCTAAGGCTGGTTTCAAGGACAGCAATTTTCAGTACACCTGGGATACTTTTCAGGAAAATATGCCTGCCCAGTGCCGTTTTGGGTGGATTTCCTTCGTAGTTGCTGAATTTTGTGATAATTAGAGTTTACCTGTAAAACAGTAATAGTTACCACGAAAGAGTGTGCGCATCGTTTCTTTCAAACAGAGAAGTCGGGACATCTCAGCTATGGGGAGCACACAAAGAAATCCAAGCTGATGCAAGCGGGAAGTGTAAGTGATGGTTATGTGCTTGTGAACGGATAGAGCAATGGGTGAGTTACAGTTACAGGAAATGATGTCGTCGTTATCAAGAAGGGACCCGGGGCTTCGACGGATAACCCTGCCATTCTGTGTGACACCACTCAGGATTTACGAGCGCCGTAACGAATTTAATGAAAATAAACAAACACTCATCAGGTCCACTTTCTGCTGGCTGATAGCGCCTCTCGGAATATGCCATGCATTTTGGAGGTCACAATGGTCTGTAATCAAGTCAAGAAAAGACTAATGATTTTGATTCACTGTCAATATGTGGCAGGTGGACGCAGCTGTGGCCCAGATCACAGGGAAGATTAAACATAAATACAGCCTCCTGTGATGTAACAGTACAGCTGGCTTTCATCCACACTGAATATTATCACCAAAGTGAATTCTGATTTGTGTTAATACATGGAAAAATACATACATAATAATTAATATGTTTATATAGTATTTATACTCCTATAGTTATATTTCCTTTTAAATTGATTTTTGAATTTAATTGTTGTTTATATGACAAGAAAATACACTCCTGCTCTGCTTGTAACTTACATTCGGTGCCCTTATCTAATGAACATGATGATTGCCCCCTGCTGGCGGAGGCAGTAGGGACTATTTGGGGTTGGAAAAGCCTTCTGTCACTAACAGAGGGATTCAGGACAAGGTGATGGCCCCAGACAGAAGCACAACCTACACCCAGCACACAAAGAAAATGCGAAATGCAGGAGCCCCCCCCTGCTCTGTCTGAACTTCAGTCTCGGTAGCACGTATGGAAATGCCACGATAGCCCCGATGACTTGAAGGCGACTGGCAATGTCGCTGGCGCACCGTGGAGACAGCTGGTGCAGTCAGCGGCCCGGGGAGGGCATGTTAGGGCCCCGTAATCTGTCGGGAGCGGGCGTGTCGTCCACCAGCACATAAATAACACCTCAAGATATGTGCTGTTGATGAAACACTGCCATACGCTACCATTTGGAAGTCTTTAAAAGCCCCCTCTAGATGAAGGATAGGCGTTCGGTGACAGGTGCTTCAAACAGACACTTAAGCAATGGAAGGAGACAAAGGTGAAGGAGAAGGCAATGGGGGGGGGGGGTTTATTAGAGGAACCACAGAAATGAGGTTTTGCTGAGGAATAATAAACGGGAACAGCTTAGCTGGCGAGGTTTACACTCCTGCCCAAATGAATGGTTTTGCTGCTGAGCGCATTGCTAAACAAGTGCAGCGCAAATAAATACCAGTCTGACTGGCTGGTAGGAAAAAGTGCCTGTCTGGGGGGGAGCAAGCATGGGAGGGGGTGCATGGTTTGGGTCCACTTGTCGCTGACTACACGGAGGTTCTTAAGAATTTAGCCACAATTCACAGTGCTGACAGCTTACTGGGTGGGCTGCTGATTATCACAAGCTCTGGTCTTCTGGTTTGCTAAGGGACTACGTGCAAAACCTTGCCAGAAAACGGACAGCAGGCGTCGCAGCCGTTTAGGGTGCATTTGGAGTGATCTAGAAAGAACACACAGTTGAAAGGTTCAAATATATATATAGTGAAGCAAAGAGTCCCAATCCAAGATAAGGGCCTGTGGTTTCCTGGTAGATAGTAGCTCTCCTTAACCACTGCGCCACCTGCTGCTTGCTGCTTCCACAGCCTCTTCAGAGTGAACTTGAGATTCTCAGCACTGACCGGGTACAAGCTTGCACTCAGCAGCAAAATGGAAGGGGGCATCGAGAACAAACGGCGTGACAGGGAACGCCCCCATGTGTCATCGACTTAACCAACATAAGAGAAGGAATATTCAGTGTGAAAGGTATTTCATTACCTTTTTGTTCCACTTCTATTTTAGGCATTGGGGAGAAAGAGAGAAAAAGAACAGATTAATGCAGTAATTGGCAGATTATCATACCAGGGCCACAAAGTGGGTAACACATTCCACTGACGTCTTACACCAATGATAAAATGACATCCACGTACAGTAGTTCAGTGTGACTCTGTAATCTCTGGAGAAAAGCTTGATAAAAACAATAGGTTACGGAGTGTTTGTCACATCCTGTAGAGGGAACAATGTAATTTAAGCTGATATCCTCTCCAGACGGAATTCAGTCATTGGAGTTGACAGCGATTCAAAGGACGTTTGAGAAGATAAACAAAAACATAGTCAGAGCGGGAATGGATGCCCTCATTGAGCTGCCCGTGTGCATTGTCGCCATTTCCGCTTCAAATTAACTCAGAATATTGTAAAAGAGGTTGGCTCCCTTTGAATAGATGGGGTGACTACTGGAAAAAAATGGTAGATTTCAAAGGCAATTTACATCTGTCAAGTGAAACAAAAGAACAAGAGAATTCCATCACCAGCAATCAATCCTTATGGCTTCTAAACATGAGGAAAAGAAAAAAAACCAGCTGTACTCTGCATTGCTAACGCAAAGTGAAAGCGTGCTATTAAAACGTACATTAAAAGGTAGTAATAAGAAACCACTATCTGTGTAACAAACATCCATCCATACATGCATGCATAGAGCACAAGACAGAGGTACACCCTGGCACGGGCGGATCTAAGGCCCGGCCATGGCCCCCCAAGTAAATTAGTGGCCACCCCATTTGCCCCCCCCCCCACCAAGAAATGAAAAAAGATATTTAAAGCATTTAAATCTGTAAACGAGAGCTGGCCAACATGTCGATCAGTCGATCCCGGTGTGCCTCCAGCTAAATCACGAGATGATTAATGGATAATAGTCTATTCCATCATTGGTGGTCTTCTGGTCGAAATATACCGAGGGGGTCCCGGGGACCACCCCCTCATGGAAGGCAGTCCAGTGGTTAAGAAGATACTTACGCACAACTTGTACGTATGAACAGACTGCCATAAAGCCTATTATATTACAAATTCAATATTACTTGTATATTACAAGTACAGACGGACACAATACTTTGTGATGCTCATGAAAACATTGTGCGGCTTCAGCGGTTCATCAACTCAAGGTACAGTACAGTACTATATGTAATAACTTTTATTACTATTGTAGAATTATTATTATTCACTGTAGTATTATTTTTCCAACTTACCTACAAATTCTACTTAAAGTCAGATTTAAGGAACGGATCTTGTTAGTAACCTCCCCCCCTCAGCCCCATAAATATAACTGGCCCCTGATGGCTACCCCGATCAAAATTTTCTGCAGCCGGCACTGCACCCTGGATTTGATGCTAGTCCATACCAGGATACAGCATCTATGGAATTTAGAGATGCCAATTCGCCGAAACGCAGAAGAAAATTAGAGGAGAACTCTGTGAATCATGGAAAGAACATTCAAATACAGAAAACCCACAAGCTTTTGGACGTAGGATCAAGACTGCTGCCCATTGAACCAGCCCACGAGACTAAACAATGAGATGATCCATCCATCCAGCCAGCCATTCTTCCATCTTCAACCATTTATTTAAATTAATGACTGTGTAACACAGAGCATGCTACGCTAACATGTGGTTATGATGCCTTGGCCCTTGGCCTTACGACTTTTCCAAACTATGCTGGAGAGGCAGTAATACTACATGCGCAATCAGTTGTGGAGTGGAACACTGACATAGCTGCAGGCATGTCCATACACGGGGGTGTCAGAATGGCAGCAAACCATCACAGGGCTCACACACATAAGTACACACTCTCAAAGGGTCGACTGTAGCCAGTCAGTCATCTGGACAGCCTGGGGGTGGAGTTCCCAGAGGTAACGGCCATATATGTGCGGGAACTTGCGGAGTCCACACAAAAGGCACAAACAGAGCCGGATTTAAGCAAACATCCCCTCGGGGTGGGAGGCCTGTATGAACCGATCCGACCTGGCACCGTGGCATTCTATGCAAATACTCTACACTCTTCCAGCACTTTCTAATCCTGAGCCGTCAAAATGCTGCATATAGCCCAGATTTCCATAAAGGGCTTCAGAAAAATGGGAATGAAGGAGAAATGGTGAGCACTATGGCCTGCCAGGGATGAGCAAACGCACACACACACACACACACACACATGCATACATACATACACAAAAATACCCATGCACATGTGTATTCATATCTTTGTGGGGACTGTCCATTATTTCTATGGGAAAAACCCTATTCCCAACACATACACGCACACACAAACACACAGGTTTGTAATTACATCTTCGTGGGGACTCTCCATTCATTTCTATGGGGAAAACTCTAATCCCAACATAACGACCTTAACCCCTATCCAGCCCTAACCTTAACCATAAGTAACCAAACAAAATACAAGAGTTTTTGCATTTAGTTTTTTCATAGCAGTCACCGATTTTTATAAAATAGAGTTTTCCCTTATGGGGACCAGGAAACCGGTCCCCATAAGGGAAAAAAACGGATATTTATCACGTTATGGGGACATTTATTATTATTAGGATAGGTAAACCCGCTCGCTCGCACATACGCACACACACACACAAATGATGCTCCTGGAGTGACCCATGCGTGTAACGGGATGGAGAGCGTCATCAGAAGGTCCCATTTCCACACAGCCCCAACCCTTCGCTACTTTGTGAAGTCATTCTTTGTATCTACCTGTAGTCTCAAGTGTCTGTCTGGAGCTAATTAAAATGTTTTCTGTACGATCAGATCTCGGGCCCCTGGGGACCAGGAACGGAGACCCCTTGGCATTTGTTTTTCTGCCCGTCTCTGCCAATGAAATCCCTCTGACTGTACATCGCTCGCACACGAATACCCCCCCCCCCCCAGAACTAGCACCACCCCCTGCCCTGCGTGCGGATCTAGTGACAGACGCCTGTCCCTCCACCAGCCCTGTCTTCCTAATCCTTTTTTAATAAGAGGGGATTCATCAGAAATTCTAGGGGCTTAAACTAAATTTAAAATAAACACAACATGCACTGGCCCATAAAAGACGTACGTCTTGCCAGTTACACCTTTCCAGCTCAGGGAAGCCGGCTGAGAAGGCCTGCAGGTGCCTGTCTGAATGCTGATTGGACTGCATCTCTCTGACACCGCAATACTGTCAGATAAAAGGTCTCTTCAGAACACAAGCGCTCATTCTGTAACGTAGAACCGATCAAAATGTTTTCATTACATTATCACTCCTTTTACAACAACAGAGACCTTGGAAAAAATATTGTAATCCTATTGAGGCTTGACATTATTTATAACACCCAATATTTCTTCCTGTTTAACGAAGAATGATGGCTGAATTTACTGTCTATAAGGCAAATGTGGTCTCATAACATTATCAGTATGCAATAATCTATGGTGGTATATTTATTTCTGTGGATTAAGACATCTGACCAGCCATTATACTAAAGTTCTTCTGCTTTCTGAGTATCAAGCTCAGCTAAATATTTGAAGAGGCAAAACCAAATGAACAATGCATCTGCTGGGGATCACTCCATGCACTTAGATGTCATCTTCTATTCTTTTGGTGAACATTTATCTCCTGGTCTGCCGTTACATTGCCAAGCCCAAACTGAAATAAGACACGATGCTATGGCGACAGCTCTGGTCTGACCAACGTAAAGACTGTAACAAATTGGTTCATGGAGATGCATGTTTAACAGAGGGCACCGTTTTGCGAATAACCCTTTTAGTGTGAGCCTGCGTATGAAAACGGGCATCACAGTCAATCAGTCGTACACCATAAAGGACCGTGAGTCACAGAAAGCTGGAACAATTTTCATATGTACGGCTTGGGAAAGTTTGCTTTACTGGCTCTTGTTCAACGATTAGCCGTTCCTGTGGCGACGTGCCCTTCCCGACGTTATCGCCTGTCCAGACGAAACCGGGGGCTTGACGGCCAAGGTCACTTTCCGACTGCTCCCACGGCCTGAAATCATCTGTCCCGCATCGCCAACGTCTGTCATTAGCCACTTGATAGGAAGTCTAAAATTAGCACGTCTCCGAGAGGGGCAGGGGGAGACAAATCACCTTAAATGAGAGGAATACGATCTCACTATAACTCCAACAATGCTCTCTTGGCAGTCATCTATGTCCACTATAAAGGTTGCACTTTCTTGGCTATCCATCCTTTCCATGCTGGACAAGGGATACATGGTGAAATTACACAAATACTAAAAGAACGAATAAAAGAAAGGTGAGAGGAGATATGCAATGTCAAATGTTATTAATTCCATGATAACATAACATAATGAGGAAGGCTTAGCACTTCAGAGGGTAGCACAGAGCTTTGGACCTCCAAGGTTGTGGGTTCTATTCCCAAATCTGTTTCTGTGCAATATGCATATTCTCTCTAAGTTACGTGGGTTTCCTTGCACAGCCCAAAGACATGCAGTGAGATAATTTTGTAGTTCTTAATTATCCAGTGTGTGGGTGCCCAGTGATATTCAAATTCAACTCAAATTCAACTTACCTGATACATTTATCCAAAGTCATTTACAGTGGAGAGAAGGGCTACAACTTCTGTGTGCTCCCTGGCATTCAAACCTACAACCTTTGCATTGTTACTGCAGTGCACTACTTGTTGTGCTAATGAGGCACCTGTGATAGAGTACTGGGAGAGGCTCCAGGTGACCCTCTACTGGCTGAGTGGCTGGATTATGGATGAATGTTTGGAGCTTTAATGATACATGATAAATTTTTATAACATTACAACATAATCACACCTGAGCTTTGGTATATGAAGTCCCCCTGATCAGGTAGGTTTTCTCCCTGTATACCAGTTTCCTCCCACATTCTGGAAGATTGCAGTTAGGTGAATTAGTGTCTCCAAATTGCCTATAATATGTGACCAAGTGTGGACTGGCATCCCATCCAGGATGTACCCCAGCCTTGATCCCTATGCTGTCTTCTACCCTATATGCTGTC